AGGTTAGACGTATGAGTGAGACGGTGAGTATAAATAGGATTCGCAAATTACATAGGCAATTTATTTGCCTATAGGCATAATTTTGCCTATAGGCATAATTTTGCCTATAGGCATAGGCATAATTCGCATAGGCAAATTACTCTTTGGCATTTTACTCAGAGAAGTTCCTATGTTCTTGTCCCATAATACACACAGAGGATGTTTTGGAACTTTGTCATTTGATTAAGTTGTTGTTTGCTTGTGGCGGTCAAACCTAAACGTGACAATTTCTATGCGATAACCCTGGAAACACAAACCGAAACTGTCTCTATTTTCCGCTTGTTACAACTTGTAATAAAGTTGTTACATCTTGCCTTAACGTGTTTATGACGTATTAGAACGTTGTTACAACTTGCTATATTGGTTGTTATAACTGATTAGAATCGACTTGAGAATGGTCCAAGACGGACCGAAACGTCGTCGTCCCTTCAACTTCTAGTGTGTGGTCTGGTCAACATACTTCAGCCATGTTATTGTGACTCATCGCCTATGAAAATGGCAAATCAGGTATCGACAAATCAGTCGATACCAGTTTGCTGGTACCGACTAAGTGATTACACACACATGCATGACAAACAATGTTACGAGATGGTGGTGTTAGTGTGACGTAGATGGCTGTTAATATGTAACACTTTATAATAGTCTAGAGTAGTCGCATAAACGTGGATTTACCTATGTTTATAAAAAAGAAAACGGAGAAATAGGCTTGGAACATTTCTCTCAGCGGTGGACGACCGTAAAAATAGAGATATACGTTAGTCATATATGCTAATTCATCACAAACAGTGGAGGTGTATTGGAGCGGGCCCGGGTGATGAAGAGCCCCGTGGGTGGGATATGGGGCCAGATTCACGAAGCAGTTACGCAAGTAGTTACGAACGTGTACATCTTTCCTCAATCTTTGACGGCTTTGGTTACATTTATTAAACAGTTTACAAGCATGAGAACTTCCCAATCAACTGTTGGTATTGTTATAAACAGCCTCCTGGTGTCCGGGAGTTAACTCATTAACTATTTAATAATTGTAAACAAAGCCGCCAAAGATTGAGAAAAGATGTACAGGTTCGTAAGTGCTTGCGTAACTGCTTCGTGAATCTGGCCCCTGGAGTCTATGTATAGCGTATCAGATGCCTTCCTCATTGTTGCTTACGCCAACACAAGGCGGGGTTAGTGAGAGCCGTGAAGGACCATCACAGCGCTCGGGCCTGTACTACACTGCTCCACTTAACGCTCTCAAATAGGAACTACATAGCAAAAGCTCGATATCTATTGAGTTCCATCTGAAAGCTTGTTCATTGACAATTAGTTATGCACACTCGCTGGAGGGATCAGAGGGCGGCGGTAATGGCAGGATTGGACTCGGGGTAATTAGGCATTACGCTTGGATTGTTGGCTTGGTTTCCCCTTTCTTATATTTTCATTCTTCTGTGGCTCGCCTCTCGGATGAAACCGGCGCCTTCACAGAAGAATTTCCTTGTGTTATTAACACATAAATAGCAACGTTGACTCTCACGGTACGCTTAAGATCAAGAAAAATGTCTTAATACATTTTACTCTGTAGATCACACACTAGAAGGTGAAGGGACGACGACGTTTCGCTCCGTCCTGGACCATTCGGACAATCGACAATGAGAATGGTCCAGAACGGACCGATACGTCGTCGTCCCTTCACCTTCTAATGTGTGATCTGGTCAACTCACTTTAGCCACGTTAGTGTGATTCATCGCCTGCACCGTTACTTTAAGTCACATACTTGTGACTAGTAATAGAAGAGCTGTGTGGGGGTACAAAAATATATATATATATATTGAAGACAATAAGCCCAGCGAGAAACTCAAACCCGGATTATTTATTGAAAGAATAATAAGAGAGACGATATATATATTATATATATATATATATATATATATATATATATATATATATATATAATATATATATATATATATATATATATGTAACAGAAAAATGTGGGCGAGAGAGAAAGATGTTTGAGAGGTGAGGACGTGACTACAGACGACTAAATCCCGGCCACCTCATGGTATCCTCACTTGTGTCGTGTATCGTCATGAGTCGTGTAATGAGAAGGCTGAGATCAGTGTGGGTTGAGGTGAGCAGTGAGGTGAATGTGGGTTGAGTTCAATGAGGAGAAGGTTGGTTGAGAGGAGTGAGATGTATGTGGGGCTGAGATCAGTGAGATGAAAGTGGGGTATATGAGCTTTATTTTTATCTCCTCGACTCACCCCTCCCCCACCCACCCACCCCCTCATAGACATTGGAGCCAATTAATATATGCTGAAAGTGAATATATTATCGTATTTATATTAGGGGGGGGGGTTTGTGTCATTCGTATATCGTACTTACATATTTTATTTATATCTGGAGAAATCTATTTTTCTTTTTTGTGCTTGGAAGGGCTCACGAGGACAAGGAGCCGGGATACGAAGACTTTGTGAAGTGACGGTATCCACCCACTTGGAGCACCGGGGATCTTCACAAACCCCTTGTGTTTTGAGTTCTTCCTTTTGACCGTTGTTTGCACGGATTGGAAATAAAATCAAAAGCAAACACCGTGCGCTAGCAAACACCCACTGAGAATCGATAGACAGACAGGAACGCATCGATAGATATTTAATAATAACCGGCGGGTGAAGCGTTTCGAACCTCTCATACTTCAGACGCTGAGCGAACACTGACTTACTGCCCAATTCAGTAGCAGCAACGAGAGAAGAATCAATATTACCAGTATGAACCACTACGAGAATAACATCAGAAGCCTCAACAACAACTCCAATAATAACATCAGCAACAACTACACGAATTCCATTAGCAATTACAAGAAATGCATTAGCAGCTGCAAAGGCGACAATTACACCAGCAGCAACAGCAGCAGCAGCTGCAGCAGCAACAGCAGCAGCAGCAGCAGCAGCAGCAGCAGCAGCAACAGCAGCAGCAGCAGCAGCAACATAAAAGAAGTCTACAGCAACGAACGAGTTCCACTGGTAAGAAACATCGTCATCTCGACAACATTTATAATACAGATCTCTGCGGATCTCTGCAGATTTCTGCGGATCTCTGCAGATCTCCGCAGGCACACACCTGCTTGTTTTACTTGAGGCAAACGCATCTAAGTTTTTGTGTGTGTGTGTTTTTTCTGGGCTGCGGATGCGAGTGTTTTTGTACTTGAGAACGAGCGATAGAGCGAGAGAAAACTTAAACGCTCGGAAGGGGGAAAAACCCTCCAGTATGCTGGAGAGAATCATTCTGAGCAGCTTCAACTCATTTTTTTGGAGTATTTGCATATCTCGGGTCACGGTTTCTTTAATGGAAATAGTTTGGGTGAGGTGTTGGGCTGAAGGCCTCTCAACCTATGGACGATTATTAAGGCCAACACTCTTACTGACCAACCAGCAGGTATACTTTAGTCCTGTACATTGTCCAGGACTAAAATAAACTCTTAAGTGTGTATGCACCAAGAAGAGGGGACACGGGAGACTGAAGAATCGTTGACTGGCTTCATCAAACAACAAACAAACATTCAGTCGAGTAATAACACAGGGAGAAGCCACAGGAAATGAGAAAAATTTGATATTTTACACTCAAATCTCCAGTTTTTTCACTCCTCGAGAACTTGCAGAAGAGTGTATTTATGCAGCTTTGGTAATATGTGTTAAAATGTGGCGAGTTTGCTGAGACTAATTAAGAATCCAGACGAGAGGAAGAAAAATTGAGAAAGAGCTAAATGAAGGACTTTCTATTTCGTACATTTTTTTTAATAATTGAAGCATTACTACACGAGGTGTATTATAAACGAAAATATTATTGAAGATACGTAGATACACTGAGATGGTTTGCTGGGACTCGGGACGTTGTTTTCTACGTGTGGTTTATTAAAGTTAATCCTCGTAAAATGTAGATGTATCTTGTAGTCTTGGAGGACGACTTAAATAGTGTATTAAGTGATTTTCATCCTCGTGGGGTCGTTTGAG